GGTGTGGGGGTGTGGGGGTGTGGGAGATGGCTGCTGTCTTCCGAGGAACTGTTGTACTTCTTTAAAGGAACCGTGACAACCACCAGTTTAGGAAAGATGAGGCAAGTGCTAATGATGTGCATTTTTAAATTTCCAGAGGCTGTGGAGACAGAAAGCCCTAGAGACCTAAATCTGTACTTTTATTTGTTATTAAAGGCAAAACTCCAAACCAGACCAAACAGACTCTCCAAGGGGCTAGAGTTTTTATACCACTCCACTAAAAATTCACTTTGTTTTCCACGTGGACTGATTTGACATGACAATGGCCCATTTAAATTTCTACTCTCAGAAATGCAAATAGCCTGCACAGCACTGAGAATAATTAGCAGTTTTTTAGTCAAGATATCGCTTCCAACTATCTCAACATAATTTTATTCCAGAGCAATGATTTTAAACCAAGAAGAAATTTTGGAGTATCTTGGAAGTGCTTTTCCCAAGTTAGGGGATGTTACAGGATGTTTCCTTAGAAAACAAAGCCTGAAACAGAGAAGTAAGTCTAAGTAGTTTATCTGGAAGTGTGACCAGGGAGCAGGAATGAGGGATGAGAAAGTGAATGGTGAAAAAACTCACTGGAAAGCCAATGGAGGCATAAATTATGGAGTTAGCCAATGCTACAGGCACCTGCACGTTTGATTCTATGGACGCTGAGAAGCCTATGAAATGCATATTAGGACCATCTACCTGGGACAAGAAAGGGAGCTGCATTTTCCCCTCAACTCCCAACTACTTCTGGTCAAGGATTGCTACACTTTGTTTTCCACTACTGTTGATTTGACAGTATCAGTGGCCCATGTAAATTTCTACTCTCAGAACCTTCATTTATATACCTTAAAGATTGCCACAGGGCAGAGTGTTAAATTCCCTGTTCTGGGTTGTGTGCATGGATGACAAGGGGTTCTTTCAAGGATGTCCTGCACCAGAGGACTAGAGAAATTCCAGAGCAGAAGGGAGAGGTGGGGCTGCGGTGGGAACCGTCGGCTCACGCTTCCGTAAGGCTGGTTGGACCCTGTATGAAACTGATTGCCACTGCTGTGGGCGGAATAAGAGACAGGGACAAGAAAATTAGAATGTGTGTTTAAGAAGCATCTACTGTGGGAGGGAAATGAGAGAGAGACTAAGCAAGCAGGGCACCTACACAGGGCACTGCGTCCCACTGTTCAGGTTGCATACAGTAACAGCAGCTCCACATCCGCCTGTTCCAGGCATAGGGTTTCAATGGAGATTTTGTTTGAAAGAACTTTCACTGTTAAAAAAGAAGAGGAAAAACAAAGAAAGAAATCTTTAAAAGTCTCGGTCTTTGAATAATTTAGAAGACAAATAGGATGAACTCAAGAGTAGATGAAAAAACTAAATACATAAATATTCTAAATACTGGTAGTGAGTCTAAGGTTTTGGATGACCGAGAATATTAGGAAAGGCATTT